TGGAAGCGTTAAGTGGATGGTGACACTCTGCGGCATGAATGCTCTCTTGAGACAAATACATCTGGGCCGTTGCTGGTTCAACATCATCAGCAACATTGGCCGTGCTTATCCGCTGAAATATCTTATACTGAAACGCAAATGGTACTATATTTAGGAGAAAAGGCACCTCACCATGCTTTGTCGGGAAGCGTTAAGTGGATGGTGACTCTCCGCGGCATGAAGGCTGGCTTGAGACGAATACACCTGCGCGGTTGGTAGTTCAACGTCATCAGCAACATTGGACGTGCTTATGCGCTGAAATAGCTTATATTGAAACGCAAATGCTATTTAGAAGAAAAGGCACCTCACCATGCTTTGTCTGGAAGCGGTAAGTGGATGGTGACACTCCGCGGCAGGAAGGCTGGCTTGAGACGAATACACCTGCGCGGTTGGTAGTTCAACGTCATCAGCAACATTGGACGTGCTTATGCGCTGAAATAGCTTATATTGAAACGCAAATGCTATTTAGAAGGAAAAGCACCTCACCATGCTTTGTCGGGAAGAGGTGAGTGGATGGTGACACTCCGCGGCATGAAGGCTGGCTTGAGACGAATACACCTGCGCGGTTGGTAGTTCAACGTCATCAGCAACATTGGACGTGCTTATCCGCTGAAATAGCTTATACTGAAACGCAAATGCTATTATATTTAGAAGAAAAGGCACCTCACCATGTTTTGTCTGGAAGAGGTGAGTGGATGGTGACACTCTGCGGCATGAAGGCTGGCTTGAGACGTATACACCTGCGCGGTTGGTAGTTCAACGTCATCAGCAGCATTGTACGTGCTTATCCACTGAAAGAGTTTATAATGAAACGCAAATGACGTTTGGGAGAAAAGGCACCTCACCATGCTTTGTCGGGAAGCAGTGAGTGGATGGTAACTCTCTGCGGCATGAAGGCTGGCTTGAGATGAATACACCTGCGCGGTTGCTGGTTCAACGTCATCGCCAACATTTTGAGTACTCGTTCGCTATAAAGTGTTCATACTCAAACGCAAACGGCATGTGGGAGAAAAGACACCTCACCATGCTTTGTCTGGAAGCGGTGAGTGGATGGTGACACTCCGCGGCATGAAGGGTGGCTTGAGATGAATACACCTGCGTGGTTGGTAGTTCAACGTCATCAGCAACATTGGACGTGCTTATCCGCTGAAATAGCTTACAATGAAACACAAATGTTATTTAGAAGGAAATGCAACTCACCATGCTTTTTCTGGAAGCGGTAAGTGGATGGTGACTCTCAGCGGCATGAAGGCTGGCTTCAGACGAATATATCTGTGCCGTTGCTGGTTCAACGTCATCAGCAGCATTCTGTGTACTCTGTCGCTGAAGAGTTCATTCTCAAACGCAAACATTATCTGAGGGAAACTGCAACTCACCACGGTTTGTCGGATAACAGAAAGTGGGTAGTGTTTGTCCCCGGCATGAAGACTAACTTCAGATGAATTCAACTGCGCGGTCGCTGGTTCGTCGCCATCAGCAACATTAGACATGCTCAGTGGCTGTAGCGGTTCATACGCATACGCAAACGCAAACTGTATGTAAGAAAGACTGCTAAATCTCACCATGCTTTGACGGGAAGCGGTGAGCGGGTGGTTGCGTGCAGCATGAAGACTGATTTCAGACGAATATTTCTGTGCCGATGGTGATTCGACTTCATCAGCAACATTCTGTGTACTCTTTCGCTGTAAAGAGTTGACTCGCTGAAAAAAAAATCCAGACAAAAAAACAGCTTACCATGTCTTTAGGATGATGACCGTTCGCTCTGTCGATACTGGCCTCAGAAGAAAACTTATGCACTGTTGTTGATTGATCGTCCTTCACAAGATTCTGTTCGCCATTTTAGGAGTTTACAGAAGAACTCAAAAGACTAGCATGAACTCACGATAGTTTGACGAGAATTAGTGAAGAGCTGCCGAGGAATACGAGCTTCAGCGTTCCGCTCGTAGGGCATCTCGGTCAGTTGCTCATCTTGATTGAAATTGTTTTCGGAACTTGTGAGCTAAAGTTTTTACAGTTGTCAGACCTTTTTTGGTGGCAAGTGCTCTCGTTAGAATTAAGTGACTGCTGTAATGTCAGCAATATATAGGCCATTCACAATAATTTTTAACTGCTTCTCTCAAACAGCTTTTTGTAATCGTGCTTACTTTGATAGCCTCCTGCGACTCATAAGTAGACATTGGTGTGACGAAGGTGGTAATTCCACTTGCTTCACTGTGAGTGTTCTTATCCTGGAACTTTTCACAGATTATAAACTAAATAACAGCACGCATGATTGCATTATCGGGCAAGAAAAACGGGGATGCTCTTCCCAGACATATTTCGTTAAGAGTGCCTAAAGGCAACAGTAAAAACCCAAACCACACTTATCCCCGATATATAGTACTTCTAGAGTTACCTATCGACTTCTGTACTTTTTAAAGTATTACCCGCGCTTTTTTTAATACGCGCTCAATCATTCCCTTGTCTTGTGTGTAATTTAGAATCTACTGATATATCATCATTTGGTGCATTCAGACTCTATCGACGTGTACTGTTTCCATCGACAGACCGGCCGAGCGACCGACCCACGGGGTTACTGTCCACGTGTTGACAACGCTGGACAGATTGCGTTCAGGGCCGCGTGGGTTATGAAGGCACGTGATCCATCAGCGTCTAGTGTTGTCCGCACATGGGCAGCACCGCCGTCAGCGGGTCGGTTGGTCGTCGGTTACGTCGCTGAACTCTGAAAGCATCCGCTCACGCAGCCTTGAACGCAATCTATCCCGCGTTGTCAAGACGTTGTCATGAACCGCGTCGGTAGTTTGGGTTGGTCGATTTAAACAGTGCATGTCGGTGGAATCTGATACACCCATTGATCTACTTTTTAAGAGGCCAGGATAGTTGCGTGAAGATTGCATGAAGAAGAATTCAGAAGCAAACAATGCGAATATTGAAACCGTTACTGGAAAAGAAACAAGCAATTACGAGTGTTACTATGCCATGCTTCTCACTCCTAACCTATTGATCATATGTTTCCTTCGACTGTACAATCAATGAAACGCATATTTCCCTGACTGAAATTATAAATTTATATCACAAAGGAGGTTAAATTCATACTTCATATAGAAAAGGAGAATCGTCGAGTAAATACTCTCACTGTATTGAGATAGTTTTTCGAGAGCAAAAGGAATACAGGATTACAAGCAGTGGCTACTAATCACCTCGTTGGAAAGGAGCTCACTCCGAGACGATATCATTGCCTCAAGTACTTCGCCGCCAACTTCAGGGGACCTGATCTGCTCCGAAGCAGTCATGTAATGAGAGTCCACCTTAAACTACTCAATCCTTCACTCGCAATTCGAATTGCACTAAGCGTAATCTGTATTCATTGTGCTAATGCTCTAAAACTGCCGTGAAGAAAGTCGAAAAAAGTATTTGGTTGCTCTAACATTGCTTGATCCAGACAACCGCTTCCCATCCACGAGAATCGAAGGAACATCCGGCATGCGACGATACTCTTCAGACTAAACAAAACGTGAAAGGCGGATTCAAGTCAACAAAGTGTATGAGAAATTTCTTTTGAGTAGCTTTTCCNAAAATGTCGTTGCTTAAGCGAGCAAGACTCTCAACATTGTGCAAATTTGAAGTCATCGTCTTGGTAAAAACTGTACGCTATCTATTCAGAAGCTAAACGAAATTCAATCAAGCAATTATTACCTGTGAGCTGAGGGCAGCCTCAAATGCTTCCTCCGGCAGCTCATCGTCGCATGTACTAGGAAGGAAATCCGACGATCGCAACATACTCTAAGCAAATTTGGTTTCGGCAAAAGGACCCCTCGTGCGTCAGTACTTGACAACATTCACTTCTATTATCCTAGTTTAGCCTTAAATCCAAAAGTCGCGATATTAGCTACTTTTGGTTTAAATATTACTAATTCCTACATATAAAAATAAGAGTTACATGGAGAGTACAGCCGTTTATGTACGCGGCACCAGTGTTGAAGAAATATTGAAAATTTCTCGACTCAAGGTAACTAAAAGGCAACGGAAATAAACCTGTCTGCTAATGGTTCCTCGAGAGCGAAGGCTTGTTCGTCCATCAGAAGGTGGGTGACCACCGACGTAAAAGAACTCGTCGTTATTGGTATGAATCGACAGCTGAAAATGAGAAAGTTTCATAAAAAAAAGCACTTTTCATCCAGGAAGGGAGGTTAGTGACCATCACTTTTTTCTAACTAAAACAACTATACGACAACAGTGGAACTCTTTCACATATTAACAACAAATAGTTACCTATCTACACCCAACTACCCCCAAGAGTAGCTACTTAAATGGACTGCTAGTAACAAATCAAACTAATTGAAAACTTCTCCTTAACTTCAATCTAGTTCAAAAACTAAACAAATCATTTCCAGGACACATAAAAACACCTTGCTCAGTCGATGATTGTTGAAATTACCATCATTATGAATCGATCGGATTTGTCCCTAAAAAAAGTTTTACAGTATTCAAGGACGGGCAAAAATCATCTTCTATGGCAATGCTACCCATACTTCTTCATCACCAACAAACTGACGGCATTCTTCTTCAGTGGCTCTGATGGAATAGTATTTCGCGCTTGACCGCCTTTCTTCTAAACATGAGGTACATTTCATCTACAGAAAGTGGTTCGGTAAAAATTGCAGCGCTAGAAATCAGAAACAAGGAAAACGAGATTACTCGAAAGGACACACCTTTCAAACTTCCACCACCAAAACCATTCATCAAAGTCTGAAAAGAGTAGAAAAATTAGAGTACTTCAGTATTAAATACGGTTATTGAAACTTATAAATATAACATCGATTTTTAGCGAAGGCTGACAAAAAGAAGACTTGCGCGAAGTACAGAACAATAAGTGAAACTACCGGGATTACCTAGACTGCCATTCCTGCAAATTGTGCTAAAATGCCCTTGCCAACGGCGTCTTCATAAACGTAGTTAGTTTCGACCGATAATGAGATGCATCAACTTGACTCCCATTTAACATTCAGGTGTGAATGAATTGAATGCTTATAGACGGCGAAAAAAATAAAGGAGAAGCTTAAGAGAACAAGATGGACGATGTTGAAGTGAAAAGATTTCGAATTTTTTTTTGGAATTTTGAAGCCTCACGCTTTGTTTAAGTTCGTTCATGATATAGATAACTGATACAAAGTAACCAGCAGTGTTAGGTAAACTATGTATGTAATAAGTTCTATGCCATAACTGTGATAACCAGTCATACAGTTGCGACCCTGACATGCTTTTTGGTTATTTTTTCTGCACAGTCAGACCTGTTTTGTCTGCGCTCGGAAGAGGGCTACACCGTTTTTTGAAGTTAGTCCGTAAATGCGTTTTCATTGAGACAAGTTCAAATTGAATCTTCATAGAAAAATCTCTTTCAACCGACTAAGATTAACCTGTGATAGAGAGCGAACACGTCGCTTAGGATGAGTCGAGTGGCGAATGAAATCATCCAATCCATTTATATTCGCAGTGACCGCGTCGTTTTTATGCTGAATATTTAATTTAGATCATGCAGTTGTGAATTTTAGAAAAGTACCTTCAACGCTGGTTCCAAGTCATGCTCGGATGGATACACTGCAGCCTGGATGGGAGACCCCTTAATCGAGATTTTTGCTGTAAATTGTTTCTAATGAAGAGTTTGATGAATCTAAAAAATAACCTAAGAGGAGGGAAATATAAATACTGAGTTCTCCGACAATTTGAGGGAAACACAGAAGTATGAAAAAGTGGATATGCTGCTGGTGCTTTCACAAACTGCCGAGTTGAAAATAAAACCAGCCTTAGCAGTTGTCAGGTAAACACTGGAAGCACTACTGCAACACTAGTGTTATCCCATAAAGAGTACCGCCCGAGATGTGCAGAGCAGGGCACCGCAACATCAAATTCGAATTAATAAACAACATCTTCCTTCTGGAGGTAACCGAGTGCGAAAGATTTTGTGGTACGTTAGGTAATAGAGCAGTATTTGAGCGAGGTAATGCATGAAACCTTTGAACGCGCAGATCACTGTCAGTAATGAAAAGCCGTAAGTTGCCTACCATCGTTTTCATTTCTTCATGTTGAAAAAACAACCTACTTCTCGATGACACTCTCCAGACTCCGATTTGTTCACTTCGATGTTCTTTCTCAAACGGATCTGAAAAAAAAAAAGCATGCTGAGAAATAAAGAGATGTGAAAGGAAAAAAAAAACTGGGAACTCCCTCAAAAATATCAGAAAACTTCTCACCACTGTCTCTTTATGAACATTAATTGTCCTATTTTGGTGATGTTCCACAAGTTTGGATGATTCGAATACTTCGCAAGATGCTCCCTAAAACTTCCACCCGTTCTGGATAAATTTGCCAATGAAATAATAATTGTAAAGGTATTCCAAAAACCTTGTCTTGGAGCGGGTTACTTGTAAAAGCGATTTCCTTATTTTTACTGAAATCTGGTAACTCGCCGTCATGAGTGATGCTGCAGCCGATCTTTTTCACCTGAAACTATATTAAACTCATGATCTTTTATTTTATAAATAAATAAATAAATCCATATCGAATACAAGTTCACGAGCGTCAGTTTTCCGAGGTGACGCTGCGTCGGCAGCTGTGTTGGCATATGTGTGCATGAAACTTTTCAAATTCAAAATCTGCTGGAAGATCTTACCTCCCGTTATATGGTATTAAATATGACCGTTTATTCGAAGCGCTTTTTCTGCTAAATTAGACTTCTATTTTCACTTGCCTAAGTTTTGGGCAAATTTAAATTTCACCCCACTAAACACCGAAAAATTGAGGAAACACACAGAGAGAAATTCAGATATACAAAGAGAAGACATTTTTATTGATCTTCACATCACTTTTCGTAAAGAAATTAGCCCTCGAACTGAATGTCGGGGCAATTATCTTCAAGACTTTACTTTTTCTTCCACTGGATAGTGAATTACCTGATCTGTAACCCCTCTCAAACTCTCTTCGTCATTCTTCTAATTTTTAAACTCCTAAGCAGCAACCTTTATTTGGCTGAAGAAAGGATTCTGAATGAAAAATCTATTAGACAATCAGGGGATCCATGGCTTGTTTGGACCTCATCAAGAAGCCTTCTGGACCTTCATAAAAAAATTACAAGCTTATAAATTCCGAAATTTTACAAAGAAATTCGACTACCTTTTCAAAGCATAGACCTATAAAGTCGGAAACTGCAAAAGGGGTAATGACAAGATTCAAGCCTCATCAAAAAAAAAAAAAACTAGTTGAAGGATCGCCAACAACTACCGAAGTCTGCAACTGCTAGCAATGTTCAATCGCAGACGATCGTCTATGCAATTTTCTTGGGAAAGTATTACAAGTATAAAAACATAATTGAAGAAGGAAACCTTTTCACAAACTGTTCCACAGGAGAAGTCTTCCATATTGGCAATCGGTATTTCGGCAGTCACATTTTCAGGAGAGTTACTACTCTGAAACAATCATAGTTTGTCCTTCTTCCCATCTTAGGACCATGATTATCTACACATTTGTCCTAACGATTTTCTAAGTTTGAGGAGCTTTATTGTGCCCAGGTTCTACTAGCATGCTAGCCTTTATTTTAGCCTGAAATTGTCAAAACACAAAAACGCCATATCAGTTCAAACATTTAACGCAAATGCAACGCTCAACACAACTCCACTGTATAATAAACCAGTCGGTTGATCCGATCAAGAGGTATAATACTGGCTAACCATGATCTCATCTCCCAAGACACCCCCTTGGTTGTCACTAAACCAGGCGCAATGATTACCACATCCCTCGACACATAAAAATTCACATATGTCTAAAAAGCGCGTGGGTTCGTTGGTTGCATTCTCTACCCTGTTCATTTTGAACTTTGGCCGGTGATTCCAAGCACCTTCTATTGAAGTGAGCCTACACCTAAAACTACAAGCAGGCTCAGATTAACACGTTGACGACAATGTCGCGCAATGGTGCGCGACAGCCAGTCTATCTCATGGGACGATGTCGCGCAATGCTGCGCGACGGTGCATTAAAGTGTGTGTGCTCGCTTCGTTTTTTGTGCAGACTTTCAATTTAGGCTTATAAGTGTCCAAAATAGCACCAGCCACCTACTAAATGAATTCCAAGATGAATAACACAAATACAAGACAGGACCAACCGCAGGAGCCATATCGTCGCCGTCTAAACCACCTGCAGCATGGTCGCCGCTGTCTAGCAGCCAGTGGTCGAAAATTTCGTTGAGTCTTCCATTTCAATATCTGGGACACTCATGATGACAAAAATAGTCGCAAGGATAATAATACTCTCAGAGATCCTATTTTATACCTTTAATTCAAATTTATCACCGCCAAATTTGAAATTACCCTTAGTAGCCGCAAACCTAGGGCAAAATTCGAATACTGCTGGAAGGTTTGCGGATTTCAAATGTTTTTGAATGTAATCACTCATTTTTCGAGAAATAACAAATTTCCAAGAAAGAAACTGTGTCGTCCCACGGGATAGACACGAAAAAATCGGCTCGTCGTCAACGTGTGAAGAACCAGGGGAGACGGGCGTTAGAAACGATTTTGAGTAATCGATTTGCCGCTCGCGGCTGTCGCGGACCACTCATTCGCCGTTCTTACAGCTCTAGCGTTCTTCGTACGGCTTAATCGATACGCGATCATTATTTTATGCATAATTCTACTATTAGTACTTTTGTTCTTGTATTTCATACCCACTGCTGCATCCTGCTACATTCCTCCTCTCGCGACGCCCCTCTCACCGCGACGCGACCATTTCGTTCCTAACGCACCACACCCAAGAACCAGTACTACATCCATACTGATCGACGACGGTTGGTAGTGACCGTTTTAGTGTAAATGTTTCGATTAATTCATTCAGAGGTTGGAGACAAATCGCTTTTCTTAGAACTAATAAAGGAAATATCCCTAGTCGAAGTCAACATATGAAATAAGACTTGTGTTGTCATATGCGTTTTCAGCTACCGATCTCAAATCTGTTTTCCAAATTAGCCAAACGACTCTTTGAACAAAGTTATGAAGGCTTTTTCAAGTAAGCACATCACATAAGCGAACATAAATGGATGTCGCTGCTCTCTCAGCGGTGCCCAGCTCGGAAAACATTTGAAACTTCACATACTCTACATTCACAGTGTACTTCTAGAAAGCACACGCTGCTATCATAAGCCCAAGATATTCGAGTAGAGCAGAAAGTGTAGTCAGTCATCGCAACCACACACTCCTTCATTTTATTCCTTTTAGCTGATTATGACCAGGCCTCTTCCTGATCACGAAGGTCTGTCGTGGGATTATTCCGCATTACTCTACTTTTCTCATCTTGGTTTCGACAGGAAAATGATAGGCGATGTGTATGTGTGTGTATGCGGTATAGGTGGTGTGCTTGTGTGTATGTGAATATACAGTAGTGCTCAAAAGTTTTCGGCCAAATGCTTCTTCTGTACTTTCCAGTCGTTACTCGTTTCCTAATGGATCTAGTCATGCAAAATTTCGATAGTTGTAGCATGGGTGTATTATGAATACTTACCACTATTAACATGCAATCTGATCACGCTCCAAATATCCCTCCAAATAACTCAAATTCAAGTGGAAAAACGGATAATGGTCCTTCTGAAACTTATTTCCTTTTTGTCATGTCTTAAGTGTACGAGTGCTAATGCAGAACACGGTAGAGAGAAAAACGCAGATCAGGTGCGAATAACTGCAGACGTCACTAACTTCGCTTCAGCGAAAACTGCTACCGCAATGGATATCTTGCTCTTAGTTATGTGGATGCTGCTGCTTTGCAGTCAAATATTGTTGGATAGTGTGAAATATGATTTATGTAAACATATCAAAGTTTCGCGCGATTTCCTCACTGAGAAAAAAAGTTACGCCGAAAAAGCGTAAAAGCGTATGACCGAAGACCTTTGAGCGCTACTGCATATATGTACGCGTATGGGTACGTACATTTGTATCTGTATATGTATTTGTGCATATGTGTAATCGTATGTGTGTGCCTGTGTAAGATCGCAAAACAATAACTCCTATCCTCACAATTTTTCGGTTAACCAAGGAACCCTGGCACTCTAGTATATAATGTAGGATGTAAAGGGATCGTTAATGTTTGATGATAAGGACTAATAATAAGTGATAAAGGCTGCTAACGTATCACAGAAGGCAAGAATCACCAAGTCTGTACTTCTCTCCGTGATGGGTGCGATACTAGCCTTTTTAAGTTTGATGGAAGATGTTTCGGGAGCGTGGATAATTGATGAAATATGATAGGTTCTGATAAGTGGCCATAAAAAGGAAGTCAGTAAGCTTGTGATGCCCTCCGCAATATCAGCGGAACCCTGGCTGTTTCAGACTCCGACGATTCTACCTGCGTGCAAGCGAGCGCGATGCGGCGGCGGCGCTAGCCACCTGTTGACAGCTTTGGCACGTGACCCATCAGAGTCCGATGTTGTCCACACCTGTCTACCGCCGCGTCGCATAGCCTCTTGCTTGCTCGCACGCACGATTCTACCTGTGTGTAGGCACGCACGCAAGTAGAACCGTCGAAGTCGGAAATCAGCCCTGGGCACTTGGCAAGGATTTGTCGCGATCGTGGAAACTGTGAGAGAACCTGTTTTATATAATATTTTAAAACTACTCCCTGATGGTCAGAGGTAAATGTTCATCTATACTATGTTGCATACAGTTGTACAAAAGCTACTCAGTATACTCAATGGAAGTTCTTTAAAGACGCCTGCCACTAGTGCAAGCTGGGCTTTTTCTAAGCCAACCACAGCAGACGGAACGTTTCAAACCATAACCATCTCATACAAAAATGGCATTCGATATGGCATATGAATAAATGGCACTCACGCAGTTAATAATATCCACATCGCCCATTACTCCAAACGACCCTGTTGAGAAGCCAGAGAATCCACCGCTACGCTTTTGTCCTTGCCAGCCTTGCTGGTTTCCCCTGCCAACATCTCGCCAACTACCGCGCCAACAATCTCTGCTATCGGTACCTCCACCGCGCGAACCGTGATACCCGCCTCGATCTCGACCTGCTCGGTTTCTTTTATCCTGAAGGTGCTTCATTACGACGTCAAAACAATTGATCACGAAATGAGTAGTCACAAATTCATTGTTGAACAGGAAAAANAAAAACAACATAAATTCTTCCTCGCTGTCCCTTCCCTATCCCATTACGCTTGAAACAGGCGCTGGAAAGCGATCGACGATGGATCTACTGGGCGGAAAGGATCTACATTCTCATCACAAGAAAGATGAACATCACAAGAAAGATGAACCTATATCAATTTTACAGAGACAATACAAAAAAATAGAATGAACTGTCTCGACACAGTTCAAAACTCACAAAAGCCAAGCCACCGTCGCCACCAAAACTATCATCGAGTCCTCCACGACGACCACGACCCTGAACCTTTTGAAAACATTTGCAAATTCTCAGAATTGAACAGTGAAAGATTGCTCACCGCTCTTTTTCCACGTTTCATTCTCCAACTTCTTCGCCGGCTTCTGCAATCTCAGTTTAAGTGAAGAACACAACTTAACGAAAGAAACGAAATGAACAATGCCGAGGTTGGAATATGATAGATTATCAATTATGATACGGGCCTTTCATATCTCCTGAACACACTCGCACAAAACGATCGTGAAGCTGGTAAGAGAAAAACATCCCAAAATGCGTTAATCCATTTAGACGGACATAAAGGGACATCACGAAGGTTGTGAATGGTCTAAACAATGAAGAAGACCGTGTACGGGCTCTGTTCGATCGATCGTACAGAAATCATCAGTCAGAATGTCTTATTCCCCCTATTTCTTGAGAGCTTTGTTTTGAGGGATGAAGGGGAAATGAGGAAAAAGAACAGAGTTTCGAAAGTCTCAAATTCTGTTAACAGTGACTGGCGTAGGGTGAAGGCCATTTGCAAATCGTTAAATTACAATCGTCTAGAATGTGAAGAGGTGATGTGTACGGCACGAGCTGTCGAAACTACAAGCACTTCCCTAGAGAAATTTGGTAGGAAGGTGAGAAGTAAGGCACACATTAAGTTACAAACTAATGTACCAATACCAATCCGAGTGTAGCTCGTGTCACTGTATGGATTTCTTTGTATTTTGGAATCTTTTCGGCCAAAAAATAGGCGAAAGAAGAGACCCCGTCCAATGTTGCCCATTTACTCCCCTCTCAACCTATGTAGATTATGAAGTGAGATAAAGATAAACTTATAAAACTTATTCTATTTGCAGCAAGAGTGGCACAAAGGAAGCTGGTTACATGGAAGCGAGTCTCTCATTTCCTGTAGACGTCAGTCTTGACTAACAAAATTCACGAATTGATTGTAAGTGCGACCGGAACAACAATAAACTTAAAACCACATCTCTCCAAATATCATAGATAGCAATGAGACAATCTTTGGAGAATGGCAAACATTAAGTTCACTGAGGTTCAATGCCGGCTGGGTACAGCTCGCTGCCGGTTCAAAAAGCTCTTTCCCTATATTTGTAAGAGAAAAGCGTAGAATCAGTGGAAAGATGGGGAATCAAACAGGTAGGAACAAAAATTATACAATTAAGAGATCGGAAGAAGTGCAATTGCCATTTTGAATAGTCGAAAGAAAACAAGGCGGAAATATGACGCGCAATAAGCACCTGAGAAAAGAGGGTCCTGCGAAGATTTTTGTGAGCAAAGCCACTTGCTGAAGCAACGCCAAGAGATCAAATGCTTTAGCGGGGCACTCGTATTCATTCGAACACGAGAAGACATTTAAACATGTTTATACATGAAAATTATGAATAAACATGTGAAAACACGTGGAAACATGCATTTTCAAGAACTGCTAATTTCCCCGTCAGTCTTCTCATCCTGAGCGTCCATTTCGCGCATTCGTAAGGTCCGCTGTTTTTGAGGGCACATCCTACAATCTGTGGCATCTCCTGTCGTTACTTCGGCTTCGAGAAAGTCTTTGATCATGTCTCTACACCTAGCTTCGGGGCTCCTCGTGGGCGCTTGCTTAGGGCATCGAATTCCATTGCTACTCTTATCGGCTGATTTCGAACTCTTGCCTTTTCAGCCGAGTAGTAGTGGAATGTGTGATCGTCCTAGTATATTGCACGCCCACCTCAGCTTCCTCTTGGCTGCTGTGGTAAGTCGCCTTTGATGGTTCTTGCCTATTTGCCCCCACTCATTGGCTTACAGTATCGTGAGTCTCACCACTGCTCTGTAAACCTTCCCTTAGAACTTCACAGTAGCATCCTTTGCGATTGAAGGTGCTTCAATTTGAAGCGCGTTCGATCGCTGGAGCAGTGCTACTGGACTTCCTCCTTTTCGCTCATGCTGCGTTTATGGAAGCCTCGATAGCCTGATCCACGCTACCGTTAGCAGCCAGGTCACTTCACCAGTGTCGGAAGATTTGTGTTCTCCCAACGGCCTGGGTCCGGAATCTTCTCCCCGAAAACGGCGTCGCACCCGCCGCACCCGCCGCGTGTCGCAGAATTGCGATGGAAGATTGGACCGCACAATTTGTGAAGTAGGGAGTCCTTTAATTTTTTGAATTGGCTGGCCGCTCTGGTCAGATCCATTGCGCTCTTGATCGTCGCTAGTGTAGGAGAAGCCAATCTAATTAATCAAGTCTAATAAACTAAATACTGTGTCTTATCGATTGGCGGGGGGGGGGGGGGGGGGG